TGTGGAAGGAAGGCAATTGGAGCTGGCCAGAGCAAAGTCATTTTGTTCCTGAATGCCATTTTACAACTGCCGAACTGTAGAATGTACTTGCTGATGTTGCAGACAAAATTGCTGCCACTTATGAAAAGGACTTTGCTGAGGACAGAACTTTTCTCAAATCCCTTCATCGAGGACTTTTGCCTAGAAACCAATGAACTGTCATGATAATGCTTTATCTTCAAAATGGTTATGAAAGTTATGAACTAGTGAGAACTGACTTCTTCCTTTAAAAACCCTACCCAAAAATAGTTGGTCAAGACACAATTCAGATGCTTCCGGAATCTGTGTTCCTTGAACTGCAATTCTCAGACTGCCAATAAACTTATTTACTTGGATGTCAGTCTCTGTGACTCTGGTTGACACGTTATAATGAACATGTTCAGCGCTTACAAGTAAAGTGTAACCAGATATTGTTCACAATAATCCTATGAGGTAGGTTCTATACTTTTATATAGAGGGATTTACTCTGCTGTATTAGTTTCCTAAGGCTTCTGTAACAAACTATGACAACCTAAATGGCTAAAACGACATGAATTTATTACCTTACTGTTCTGGAGGTCAGAAATACAGCTCACTGGGTTAAAATCAAGGCTTCAGCATGCATGGTGGTGCTTCCCTGGAGTCCCAGCCACTCAGGAAGCTGAGGTGGACGGATCGCTTGAGCCCAGGAGCTCAAAACCAGTCCTGGCAACATAACAAGACCCTGTTTCAAAAAAAAAAAAAAAAAAAAAAAATTCAAGGTGTCAGCTGGACTGTTACTTCTGGAAGCTCTGGGGAACAATTTTTTTTTTCCTTCTTTTCTAGCTTTTCCTTTTTTTTTTTTTTTTGGCAGCAGGGTCTCGCTCTGTCACTAAAGCTGGACTGCAGTGGTGGGATCATGGGCCCTCTCCAGCTCTAGTGATCCTCCTGCCCCAGTCCCCCGAACAGCTGGGACCACAGCACCCGCCGCCATGTCTAGCTAATTTTTCGTAGAGACGAGGGTATCACTATGTTACCCAGGCTGATCTCGAACTCCTGGGCTCGAGGGTTCCTCTCCCGCCTCTGCCTCCCAAAGCACTGGGATTGCAAACATGAGACACTGTGCCTGCTCCTCTTCCAGCTTCTTGAGGCCAGCTGCATTCTTTGGCTGTTGCCCCTTCCTCCACCTTCAAATAGCTTTCTGATTCTGACCTTTGCGGGCCCCCTTCCACTTTAGAGAACCCTTGTAATTACACTGGGCCCAACCACATACTCCAAGATCATCTCCTTATTTTAAAGTCAGCTGATTAGCAACCTTAATTCTATCTGCAATCCTAATCCCCTTTGCCAAGCAAGAGAACAAACGCACAGGTTCCAGGGATTGGATGTGGGCATCATCCTGCCTTCCACAATTGCCCATGGTCACACAGCTAGTAAGTGCTAGCTAGCATTGAGTGCTGTGCCCATGAAATTTATCTACATAGGCTTTCACTTAACCTGCAGACAGAACTCAGTGGGAGATACTTTCCCTCAATATTATTAGCATTGTTTCACTGCAACGTGGAACGACAGCTTTAAAACGTGCTCTTCGTAGGCCCGGCTACTCCAAGAACAGCGCCTCCCGCCAGACCCAGGCGGTTTCCTTCACCCGCAACCCGAGAGACGACCCGCAGGGCCCGCCCCGCGGAAGCCGCTGGTTGCCAGGCCAAGGAGTGGACGAGGGTTGCGGGGAAGCGGGTGAGTGGTCCCCGCCCTGGAGGGCCGCCTCTGGAAAGAGGAGCGCGGCGCGTGGTGGCGGCGCGGAGCCTAGTGGGAGCGACGGGGAGCGAGGGGGAGACGCGCCCCAGGCGCGCGGCGGCGCCCCTCATTTCCGCCTCGCAGTCTGGGTCCCTCGCCGCCTTGGGCTCTGGGCGCGCGGCGCCGTGGGGGCCAGCAGGGTGGAGCGGCTTTTCCAGGAGAAAGGGCCCTCACGGGTGAGCGGGACGACTGGGCTCCGCAGTGGTGCAGTTGCCGCGCGGGCGCCTGTCCCGACCCAACGGGTTCTCGCTCGCTGTCCGGAAAGAACCAATGAAAAACGCTGTTGCAGCAAAAAAGAGGTTAATAAGCGCAGGGCTGGCCAAACCAGAACAGGGTCTCAGACCTGTCTCCCTGAGAATTCGGGGTCGAGGGTTTTAAACAGTATTTTGGCGGCAGGGGGCTGGGAAACTAAAACAATTGACCGGCTGGGGATGAAATCACAGGAGCGTCTGAAACTCTGAGCGGCTTCGTTGGTTCCCAGGAGGGGGTGGGGTCAGTTTCCCTTGTCTTGAAGTTAACACGAAATCCCTCGTAGTTATCCTAGCCTCTATGCTAGAATAAGAAAACGACAACACAAAATCTTAGCCCGTGAGGTTAGAAGCAAGATGAGTCAGTCGTGTTAGATTTCTCTCATTATTTATATATCTGTAAAGGCGGTTTCAGGGCACTTTCTGAATTTAGCCCATGTCTCACTTGTGATCCCTCTTCTGGGTATTTGCAAATCACTTTATTAGGTTTTTAAAATTATCGCAGGCATGCGAAGGGGCCGATATACTTTTGCCATGTTCAGAGTGTATTCAGGTCTTGTAATGATCATACGGGTGTAATATTGAGTAAGAGGCAAATGTGGGCAGAAAAGATCAAATGTGGTTTTCAGCTAAGAAGCCTGGTTGCTCTTATTTTTCAGTTACTCGCCATTGCATAGAATAAAGCCCCGAAGAAACGAAGAATAAAAACATGGGAAAACTTGACTTCCATGTTAAACCATGTAAATACCAGGTGTTAGAATAGTGGTAAAGGACTTGTTTCTTTCACATCCATGTACTCTCAAAGACCTCATCAGTCTTGGAAAAACATTGTTTCGAAGACAATGTGTATGATTGATTTGGTTATATGAAGAAATTATTTCTAGGATTTCCTTGTAATTCTGTGATAAGCAGGAATACAAACTGGAATTTTTACAGGTCACTATAGTAGAGGTTTTAGTTTGATTTTTTGTTTTGCCTGTCATGCTCTCTCTTCCTTATAATTCTCTGTGATATGATTGAAAAACGAACACTAGGGCTGGATGCGGTGGCTCACGCCTGTAATCCCAGAACTTTGGGAGGCCGAGGTGGGCGGATCACCAGAGGTCGGGAGTTTGAGACCAGCCTGACCAACATGAACAAATCTCATCTCTACTAAAAATACAAAATTAGCCTGGTATGGTGGCACATGCCTGTAATCCCAGCTACTCGGGAGGCTGAGGCAGGAGAATCGCTCGAACCTGGGAGGTAGAGGTTGCGGTGAGCCGAGATCGCGCCATTGCACTCCAGCCCGGGCAACAGGAGCGAAACTCCGTCTCAAAATAAAAAACAAAAAACAAACACTATAAGCTTTTTGAAAAATCAAGTAAATTCATTCCAGTGTTTTTCCTGCAATGAAAAAGAATGCATCGCTTTTCTAAGGTTTTAATAATCATAATAGCTGCCAGTTATTCAGGACCTTCTATGTACCTGGCAAAGTGTTAGGAACGTTTTATCCATTTTCTCTTATGTGCTAAGCAGTCCTACTAGCTGCTTCATCCTGGAAATATAGATGGGAGACTGAAGTCAAGGACTACAACTGTGTGTTTAACGTCTCTCTTGACTCGCAGTAACCTCCAGTTCGGCACGTCCAAAATGAAACACATGTCTCTCTTCTGCCAATATATTTTGCCCCACCCCTGCAACACTCCCACTGCCAGAAAAATCACACGAACAAAAACCTCACACACAACCATTGTGCCTTTCCTCTCTCAGGGAGTGCCAGAAACCATCTGGTTCATGCCAGAAACCTGGGAGTCAACCTTGCCCTCTTCTCTGCTTGTCCCCCCATAAATCTGCCAGCACAAATCCTGTCAACTGTTCTTACATCTTTCCTTCCCATTTTTTCTGGCCCCATTGCCTCCACTGTATTCCATTTCATTATTTTCCTGCCTTTTCTGTTGTTAGAGCCTCCTAACTGGCCTGTGTCTCTGAGCTGGCCTTCCTGCCCCTCCTCCACTGGTCCATTTAATCTGCAATCTGAGTGAATGTTTTTTCTAATATGCAAATATGATGATATTGCGTTCTTGGTTAAAATGCTTCAGCAGCTTGTTACATTCTTCTTTCAATTTCTTGAACTGAATGTAATTTCTTTAGCTCTTAAATATGCAATTTCCTCTTCCATGATTACTGTTTTCCTCCTCTTTATCTAGTCAAGTTTCATTCATCCTTCAGGCTTCAGCTTAAATAGCCTACATTTGTTGAGGTTTATGGTTATCTCTGATGGGATGTCCATGATGGCAGGGATTATGAGAGATTTGTTCAGATCATAACATCTGACTCAGTTGGTTCTCAGTGTCTACCTGTTGAATGTAGTATAGGGGAGGAAAAACATTTTTTTCTCTACCCTCTTAGGTTCAGTAGCTGGGCCCTGCAAAATACACTGATGAAAGATAGATTAACAGGAAAAAAGGTTTATGCATAAATGTAAAGAAGTGGTTAGACCAGGGGGCCCACGTGCCATTTTAACAAAGAGTGATAAATTGTAGAGAAGTAACTAGACAAAAGTAGGGGAATTCTTCCTGGGTAAGTTGTAGGAAGGTAAATATATGGGGGAAGCTAACAGAAGATAAGGGTTATTCAGTAAGGTTTGTTATGTGGACTCAAGTTGGCGCCTTCCCCATTGGTAAGAGTTGCTCTCTTCCTGGTACTGGAAAGGAAGACACATTTACAAAAGGATGTTTGTTACCTGTACACAGGAAAATTTATGCCCTGCATTTATACAAAAAAGGGAGGGCAAAGAGCAGATTGGTTTCAGCTCAAAACAATTCTTATGTGAAAGTGGCATATTTTGGGGTATCATACACTGATCCCCTTCAAAAGGAATAAGTTGCTTTTCTCTTATCATGGTTATGAGAGCTACTTTGAATTAACTTCTGCTTTTTGAAAGTACATTTAATTCTCAAATGTTTCTGCTTTTGAATGCAGTTTGGGAGAGCCCATGGTGACTGCGTGAGTGGAGCCCAGCTGTGTGGATGCCCCAGCATGGATGACTACATGGTCCTGAGAGTGATTGGGGAGGGCTCCTTCGGCAGAGCTCTTTTGGTTCGGCATGAAAGCAGTAATCAGATGTTTGCCATGAAAGAAATAAGGCTTCCCAAGGTCACTACTAAAGAAATTAGCTCACTTTGAAAGTATACATGTAATTTATATAAAAGAATAAGTTTTTGGCCAGGCATGGTGGCTCACACCTGTAATCCCAGCACTTTGGGAGGCAGAGGCGGGTAGATCACCTGAGGTCAGGAGTTTGAGACCAGCCTGAGGTCAGGAGTTTGAGGCCAGCCTGGCCAACATGGGGCAAACGCGTCTCTAGTAAAAATAATTTTAAAAAATTAGCCAGGTGTGGTGGTGTGCACCTGTAGTCCCAGCTATTCGGGAGACTGAGGCAGGAGAATCACCCGAACCTGGGAGGCAGAGGGTTGTCGTAAGCTGAGATCGTGCCACCGCACTCCAACCTTGGTGACAAAATAAGACTGTGTCTCAAAAAGTAAATAAATAAATAATAAGTTTTTTAGTTTTAACATGGAATTTCTCCTTCATGCAAAAGATAGAATTGGTTTATTCGTTAGCTTTACAAGGGCTCAATACATTATATGTGGTTCTTAGGATACTGTAATGAACAATGGGAGAAAAACAGTGAAAGTTTTGGAGGTGATTACTGCTAATTTTATTTCAGCAAATAATTGGTAATAACTTCCACTTTTGTATACCTAATGGTGTAGGAAATCTTTGCCAAAGCAACTCAGGTGCGATATTAATGAAAAAGGATCATAAAAATACAATGAAGAACAAATGCTAACCTTTGTTACCAGTAAACCTACTCTGTGGATCAGTTTATAGGTTTTATTTCCTTGTAGACCATTACTATGTATCATAGTTGTCCTATGAAAGAATTCATTACATGAAGACTATGTCATAATATTTTGGATCAATTTTTAAAAAACACAGTCTAATAAAGGTCTCAGAGTGCTAGGGTTTTTTTCCCCACTGTATCCTTGACTTCATTCAGTGATTTTCAAACTTGAGTGAGCATCATAATCAGCTGGAGGGCTTGTTAAACCATGGATTGCTATGCTCCACCCCCAGGCTTCCGACTGAGTAGGGCCAGGTGGGCTTGTGAATTTGCATTTTTAATAAGTTCCCAGTTGGTGCTGATGCTGCTGGTCTGAGAACCCTTGTGTTATTACACAATGGCGATTTCTTTTCTTTCTTTTTTTAAATTTATAGATGGAGTCTTGCTCTATTGCCCAGGCTGGAGTGTGGTGGCACAACCATAGCTCATTGCAGCTCAAACTCCTGGGCTCAAGCAATCTTCCCACCTCAGCCTCCCCAGTGGCTGGGACTATAGGTGTAGTATACACTATAGGGGTGGTATAGTCCCAGCCACTGGGGAGGGTAGCCACCACACCCAACTAACAACGGCAATGAAAAAAGAAAATAAAAGTACAATGAAGGGGTCAGCTCAAGCATGAAAATATAGCCAGAGTTGGAAAATCACCATGCATTTTCTCTTGTCATTTGACAAATTTTAAGTTGAGCCAAAGTGTAGTGTTATAAAACTGCATCTAGCATTGAAGTATCACGTAAACTATATTATTGTAAAGTTATCCATTTTAAATGCAGTATTAAATTTATGCTTATTTAAAATTTTTTTTAGTCTTTCTCTAATACACAGAATTCTAGGAAGGAGGCTGTTCTTTTAGCCAAAATGAAACACCCCAATATTGTTGCCTTCAAAGAATCATTTGAAGGTAAATGCAAATTCCCCCAGATATGTGCATTTCTGAATTTGATTTATAGCCACTACAACTTTTCTAAAGAGCTTGTATCTGTTTTAGCTGAAGGACACTTGTATATTGTGATGGAATACTGTGATGGAGGGGATCTAATGCAAAAGATTAAACAGCAAAAAGGAAAGTTATTTCCTGAAGACATGGTAAGAGATTGACTTACATAGTTTCTCTCAAGGTTTAGAAGCCACTTTTCTCATAAACTTTGTATAAGTTAAAACAAAAGCATTGATATCTGTAATTACCTGAGAAGGTAAATAGAAATGACTGATTTCTGTATTGGTGTTACCACTTAGTGTCCCCAGGAGATGGCTGCCTGAAATGGTTTTAGGAACTAAAATCTATATAAATTATTAAGAAATAAAACTTTCATGTTTAGAATAATTTCAAGATTGTATCACCAAATTTTGTACTAGATATTTAAAATCTTGATTTCTTTTTCTTTTTCTTTTTTTTTTTTTTGAGACAGAGTCTTGCTCTGTCGCCCAGGCTGGAGTGCAGTGGCCTGATCTCGGCTCACTGCAAGCTCATTCTCCCGGGTTCATGCCATTCTCCTGCTTCAGCCTCCTGAGTAGCTGGGACTACAGGCGCCCGCCACCATGCCTGGCTAATTTTTTGTATATTTAGAAGAGACGGGGTTTCACCGTGTCAGCCAGGATGGTCTTAATCTCCTGATCTCATGATCCACCCGCCTCATCCTCCCAAAATGCAGGGGTTATAGGCGGGAGCTACCACGCCCGGCCTAAAATCTTGATTTTTATCGTACTGAAATTTTTAGAAGACAGGTCTATTTTATTTTGTATTACTAAAACATCAGAAGAATGAAGCTTGCCATTTCTGTTTCTTGGGAGTACCTATTCTCAATCTTTTTCCTCCTAAAGCTTGAAGTGGTCCCTTCAGTCTAAGACTTGCTGTCTTTTTAGTGGAAAATTGCATACTAAATATTTTTTAATGAATTGGCTATGGAAAATACTTAAATTGCTCCGATGAGGCTTAGTTTGATTTAGGTTATAGCATGTTATGAAAGTATGTAAATAAATGTAAATAAATATTATACATTTAGAAATTGTATTGTTAAAAATATGGGTTCTGTAGAAGGAAGTCAACCTTGGCTTCAACTGGAAGAATCTCCATAGCAAAAGTGAAAAAAAAATTAATTTTACATTTAACTGTAGGCCCTCAAGACACCTAAAAATTCTGGGTACTGTTGACCTTGGACTTATAAGCAGGAACTATTGACCTCAAAGGATTATTTATAATATAATGAAATATTTTAATGTTATCATACGGATATTCTGCAAAAGTAAATGAAAATCCAACATAATGATTACACTGGAAAAGCTGTAGTGCATTTCTTATTGATGAACTACCTTTATATAAGCATTTAAGAATACTTCTATTTGGTTGAATATAAGAAAAATATAAGTGGAAGTTTTACTAAAATAAATTGCTATTTGGATCGTGTATAAGATGCTGGAATATGGGAGTCACAGCTTTTCTGAATTTCTCCAAGTAACACTGAATCTTAGTTGAACTATGTAATTTTCAGGAGTTCTGTGCTCACATTATGTAAAATCTTAGTCGACTAAGGCCTAGAGATGATTCTTTGGAATTTTAGGTTAATATGAGCCAGTTACTGCATTCTTGAAGATTTTGCATACCTTTTTCTTACAGATACTTAATTGGTTTACCCAAATGTGCCTTGGGGTAAATCACATTCACAAGAAACGTGTGCTGCACAGAGATATCAAGTCCAAGGTGAGTGGAGTACATTTTGGACTTAAAAAAAACTATTTAATTCAGTAATTTTGCTGTGTTATCCCATGCATTTTGGGACATTTTTGTTTAGGAATATTTGTCAGCTTAATATTTGTTACTGGCCGGGCGCGGTGGATCAAGCCTGTAATCCCAGCACTTTGGGAGGCCGAGATGGGCGGATCACGAGGTCAGGAGATCGAGACCATCCTGGCTAACCCGGTGAAACCCTGTCTCTACTAAAAATACAAAAAACTAGCCGGGCGAGGTGGCGGGCGCCTGTAGTCCCAGCTACTCGGGAGGCTGAGGCAGGAGAATGGCGTAAACCCAGGAGGCGGAGCTTGCAGTGAGCTGAGATCCGGCCACTGCACTCCAGCCTGGGCGACAGAGCGAGACTCCGTCTCAAAAAAAAAAAAAAAAAAAAATTTTTTACTTACTTTTCAAATTAAAATTTCGCCCACCTTTATTAAAATATAATCGACAAAAATTATGTATATTTATGATGTATAACATGATGTTTTATATATATACACACACATTGTAAAATGATTAAATCAAGGTAATTAACGTATCTATCACCTCACATACTTATTATTTCTTTGTGGTGAGGACATTTAAGATCACTCTCAGCACTTTTTAAGTATTCTATGCATTATTAAGTATTAAGTATTCTATGCATTATTATTAACCATAGTCACCATGTTGTACAACAGATCACTGGAACTTACTTGTCCTAACTGAAACTTTGTACCCTTTTACTTAATATTTATACTAACCAAATAAAGTAATACCTGGGAAAAAGTCATTGAAATCTCTGTAGTAGTACAGTCATGCATCACTTAGTGATAGGGGGACAAGTACTCAGAAATGCTTCGTAAGGTGATTTTGTTGTGTGAGCATCGTAGAGTGTACTTACACAAGCCTAGATGGTATAGCCTGTTACACACCTAGGCTATATAGTGTAGCCTGTTGGTTCTTGGCTAAAAACCTGTGCAGCATGTTACTGTACTGAATTTCTTAGGCAATTGTAATACAATGGTAAGTATTTGTGTATTTAAACGTAGAAAAAGTACAGTAAAAATATAGTATTATAGTCTTCTGGTACCATTGTCATATATGCCATCCGTTGTTGACTGAATTATGGTTATGCAGCACGTGACTGTGTATGTTAATGTGTCCTAGCTCTCTTTTAGTGACCACTTACTAAGTCCATGTGTTCTCAGATGGAAAACGGTTGACACCTGGGCCTGCCATGTGGCATCACCCTGACACAGGTTCTCACCGGGTCTATTGAGTCTGCTGATACAACCTAAAACTTGCTTGTTAGATTTTGAAGCACTCATCCTGAGTTTCCATGCAGGGGAGTGTCTAGCTGTCAAGAGGGGATCTTGGTGTTTTGTGTTCCACTCTGGGACTCAGCTGTCAGCATTTCTACCCTTGATCTCCGTCATCAGCAGGCTTTGGAAGACAGCTTATCTGCCTCATGTTCGATGATGGAAGACATAATCTGAGTTCTTCTTTTTAAATGCAGAATATCTTCCTCACTCAAAATGGAAAAGTGAAATTGGGAGACTTTGGATCTGCCCGTCTTCTCTCCAAGTATGTGTGTCTGTTCTATGGTAGTGACAGTAATCAAAACATCGATTTTCAGGAATGTTCTGTAATCATTCTTTGCCTTTTTTTGGTTTTAGTCAGATGGCATTTGCTTGTACCTATGTGGGAACACCTTATTATGTGCCTCCAGAAATTTGGGAAAACCTGCCTTATAACAATAAAAGGTGAGTGCTGCATATTTGATGTAAGGGTGCCCATTTGGTGACAGGCATTTTAGCCTGCAGATGATGCAAGAGTCCGATGTCACTTCAAAACAGATGCATGGATCATATTGGTTTTTAAAAAATATATCTGAAAGCAGTCTGGAATCTATATTTCTAATCTATATTGCTAGGCTGCTAGATAAAAGTAATAGTTTTCCAATTGCTATTAATTATAGCTGAGAGGAGCAAATGCTGAAAGAAAGGCCAGTCATTCTAGGGACGGTATTAATTGTATCAGTGGTTCCCAAACTTTGCTGCTCCTACTTACAAAAATCCCAAATCCCAGGTTGCGTCTACACTAATTAAATCATAATGGCAAAGGGTGAGAAGCAGGCACCAGTAATTTTTCAAGATCATTGGGTGATTCCAATGTATAGCAACATTTGATAATCAATAGATTGTGTCATTGAGTTGGCATGTACAGGGCTAGATTATAAGCACTTGGTTGATAGGTAAATTGATTGAAGGAGGTTAGTATGAAGGTCTTAATGATTTAAAATGCAGTATTTTTTTCTGAATATAAGTTATATGTGCCTATTGTGGGGATGGACGTGCAGGGAAGATTGGAAATAGACCTGTAAGAAAGGACATGGAAATCACCCACTCTTCCCAACTGCCAGTAATATTTTACTGTTTTTTTCTTCATTCACTTTTCCCCCTAAAAGTATATATATATATTTTATATATATATATATAAAGTATATTTTATATATAATTTGCTTTTTCATTTTATATTATAGTCATTTCCCCACATACTTAAACTCTTCATAAATTTTCTAATGGCTGCATATATTTTACTATATGGCACTTCCAAAATTTACTTAGTAATTCCTCTGTTGTTGGCCTTATATTTCTAGATTTCAGTCTCATAAACAGTGCTGTAATTAACATACCTTTTGTATATAAATTTATCCTTGTTTTATATCACATTCTTGGCATGGATTCCTAGAAGGAGAAACAACACTGTTGTTACTTTATGCTGACTTGCTTTCTGAAAAGCAAATATACTAAATAGGTTTCTTAAAGAGTAGAATGGACTGAATGGGGGCGAAACAGCTCTACAGGGACTTGTTGGGACAATTGAGGAAATTTGGGTATGCAATAAATATTAAATAATGTTACTGAATTGAGATTAAATTCCTTGGATGTGATAACAGTATTGTGTTTATGAGGGAAAGTGTACGTCTTTGTTCTTAGGCGATACATGCTGATGTGTGTAGGGATGAAGTGTTTGATACCTGCAACCTTTTTTTTTTTTTCTTTGAGATGGAGTCTCACTCTGTTGCCCAGGCTTGAGTGCAATGACACAATCTTGGCTCACTGCACTCCGCCTCATGGGTTCAAGTGATTCTCCTGCCTCAGCTTCCTGAGTAGCTGGGACTACAGGCACCTGCCGCTACACCCGGCTAATTTTTATATTTTTTAGTAGAGGCGGGGTTTCACCATATTGGCCAGGCTGGTCTCGAACTGCTGACCTTCTGATCTGCCCTCCTCGGCCTCCCAAAGTGCTAGGATTACAAGTGTGAACCACCACGCCCGGCCTGCAACCTTTTTTCGAGAGATTCAGATAGATATAGAGGAGGGAGATTAGCACCCAAACATGGCCAATGAAAATGATTGGGGAACCTAGATAAGGGCATGTGGACATTTGCGACTTTTCTGTAGATTTGAAATTAAAATAGAAAACTAAAAGGGGAAATAGTTGGTAAAAACCATTAATTAAAATAAAAAAATACCATTTAGAAAAGTCTGGAGGAGCTGGGCCTGGTGGTGCGTGCTTATAGTCCCAACTACCTGGGAGGCTGAGGCAGGAGGATTGCTTGAGCCCAGGAGTTCAAGGCAGCAGTACAGTGACATCATGCCTGTGAATAACCACTGCACTCCAGCCTGGGCAACACAGTGAGACCCCATCCCTTAAAAAAAAGAAAACGGTGGCCGGGCGCAGTGGCTCATGCCTGTAATCCCAGCACTTTGGGAGGCTGAGGCCAGCAGATCACGAGGTCAGGAGATCGAGACCATCGTGGCTAACACGGTGAAACCCCGTCTCTACTAAAAAGAATACAGAAAAAAAAAAATTAGCCAGGCGTGGTTGCGGGCGCCTGTAGTCCCAGCTACTTGGGAGACTGAGGCAGGAGAGTGGCGTGAACCCGGGAGGCAGAACTTGCAGTGAACTGAGATTGCACCACTGCACTCCAGCCAGGGCGACAGAGCAAGACTCCGTCTCAAAAAAAAAAAAAAGGAAAGGAAGAATCCTATCCCTTAGAGTCATCCAGCAGACTGTGTGGAAAGTAGAGAGCTGCCCAGCAGGAGATGTGATCAAAGGCTGGGTGCTGTGTCCAGGGTGGTGGGAATAGAAGCTGCACTGGATGCCTTCCAGAGTCCTTCTCCAGCTGTGATCAGCTGAGTCTGTAAATATTCCCTCTTGCTACTGAATTCCCAAATGCTACTGAAGTGATATTTTAACCACCCTGATTTGAAGGGGTGGGGATTGAAGAGCAGAGAGTTTTATTGTGAACATTACTCTTAGGAAGTATCTAGGTGTTAGACCAAAATTATATGTTTTAATACCTGGGAATTACTTGTGATATCTGTTCTTATTAAAGGTAAGAAATTATTTTTTGTTCTAGAAAATACATAACCCACTTGTGATTACATTGCTTCTTTATGCTTTCAGTGACATCTGGTCCTTGGGATGCATTCTGTATGAACTCTGTACCCTTAGGCATCCAGTAAGTATGGCATGCAAAATGGAAAAGGCAGCTTGTCATATCTAGCTGAGTCCTAATAATGTGACAGATTCTAGTTGGCAGTTTGCTTCCCTAGGATGAAGTCATTATAAAAGTTTGTATATGTTTCCAGTGCAGTCATCTGCCCTGAGTTAGTTTTGTAGTATATACTAATAGGAAATTTCCATTATTTAGTTTTGCTGTGCAATACATAACCTTTCTCTCTCTCTTTTTCTTTCTCTTTTCCTCTTTTCTTTCTTTTTGCTATTCTTAATTTTTTATTTTGATAAATATAAAATTTGCCATTTTATCCATTTTTAAGTATACATTTCATTGTCGTTAATTACATTCACAATATTGTGCAACCATCACTACTATCTCTTTGGGGGTTTTGTTTTGTTTTGTTTTGTTTTAGAGACGGAGTCTTGCCCTGTTACCCAGTCTGGAGTGAAGTGGCGCGATCTCAGCTCACTGCAGCCTCCACCTCCTGGGTTCAAGTGATTCTCCTGCCTCAGCCTCCCAAGTAGCTGGGAGTACAGGTGCATACCACCATGCCCAGCTAATTGTGTGTGTGTGTTTTTACTAGAGACATTTTTGTATTTTTTTGTATTTTCCCCATGTTGACCAGGCTGGTCTCAAACTTCTGACCTCAGGTGATCCACTCGCCTCAGCCTCCCAAAGTGCTGGGATTACAGGTGTGAGCCACTACGCCCAGCCACTACTATCTCTTTGTAAAACTTTTGTCATTACCCCAACCAGAAATTCTGTACCCATTAAACAGTTACTCCCCATTTCTTCCCTTTCCCCAGCCCCCCAGTCTAATTTCTGCCTCATGAATTTGCATATTCTAGATATTTCATACAACTGGAATTATACAACATTTGCCTTTTTGTGTCTGGTTTATTTCACTAGCACAGTGTTTTCAAGATTTATTCATATTGTAACATCTATCAGGATTCCATTCCTTTTTATGGCTGAATAGTATTCCATTGAGTGTATAGACATGTTTATCCATTCATCTGTTGAGGGACACTTGAGTTGTTTCTGTCTTTTGGCTGTTGTAAATAATGCTGTTATGAACAATGGTGTACAGGTATCTGTTAGAGTCCCTGATTCCAAATTTTGAGGTCTGTATCTAGCAGTGGAACTGCCGGCTCATATGGGAATTGTATTTAGCTTTTTGAGGAAGCACCAAACTTTGCAAGAGTGGCTGCAGCATTTTTTTCCTCACAGCTTTTTGCAGTTAGATTTCACTTATCATATGAGTTTCCTCTCTAACTGACATATCATGAAAACATAGACTTTGCCCTATTATATGTTTTTTCAAGATATTTTTAAAAATATGAACCAAAAAAAGGTTAAATAACTTGTCCTGCTTGTTCAGCCATAGTTTATTACATAGAACAACAACTGCAGGGCTAATTCCTATTAGTTCTTAGCTTTGCATAGAAATAAATTCTGTTCTTTGGGCACGGATTGAAAGTTGACTTTTTGCAGATGTACTTGAGGGCACATAGAGCTCAGAAGAGGGTGAATGGTTGAGAAACAATCGTCATCACTACCAGATGAAAGTAACTCAAACTGAAGACACCTGGTATTAATGAGAGGTTATCTTTGAATATAAGTGGTTTATAATGATAGCTACACAGTTAGAACAACTTGCAGAACCTTTAAAATGCTGATGCCTAGGCCGACAGCACAGTGATTGAAATAAAATCTCTGAAAATGTCCTGGGCATTACTGTTTTTAAAACAGGTGATTACAATGTACAGCCCAAGTTGAGAGCCACCATAGTCTACGAATAAAATTATTTTTAAAATTCCAACATCTTTTAATTCTTTACTTCCTGATTGTATCTTTTTTCATAACTTACATGTACACATTCTTTTTTCTAGCAAGAATGAGTATTAAGGACTATAGTGCCCAGAATATTTGGCACGAGATCTGTCATCCCTTGTCTGCTTGAAGACAAAAGTTGTTCTCAAACCTTTAGGAAATGCAGATAGTGTAATGGTTAAAAAGCTGGAGGCAAAGCAGATTCAGCAGTATTTGTCATTATCAGCATTTGTACTTTGTTACGTGTTGATTTTTCTTTTTCATATATTCACTTGCATTTTTTATTCACAGGACAATATACTTTTTTGAAAATAAACTTCTTTTAAATTTTAAAACAGTTTTAGATTTACAGAAAAATTACAAAGATAGTACAAAAAGCTTCCATATATGCCAAACTGTAATTAACATCTAACATAGCCTTGAGGTGTAGAAACATTTCTTAAGCAAGATTCAACAAGCAGAAACTATTAAGGAAAAATGATGAATAAATTTGACTATACTAAATTTTAAGGATACCATAAATAAAAACATAATATACAGATCAGCAGAAAACATTTTCAAATGTAACTAGCAGCAAATTAATAAAATATCTTTTTTTTAATTTTTATTTTAAGTTCTGGGGTACATGTTCAGAGTATGCAACTTTATTACATAGGTAAACGTGTGCCATTGGTGATTTGCTGCACCTATCAACCCATCATGTAGGTATTAGGGCAATACACTTTCAAGGTAGAATGCTAACACATTCTTTCATAAGCGTTTCCAAGGCTGACATCTCATGTTAGTTCTGATGTATTTATTATACATTGAAAACTTTAAAAATTTTACTCCAGTCTGTCGTCGTATATCCCACAGTGTTACTCGTCAAATTTTAATAGCTGCTTTAATGACGGGAATGGTTAAAAAGGATTTTGCAGTAGAAGTTTAAAATTGGAAAAGTCTGGCCAGGTGCTGTGGCTCATGCGTGTAATCTCAGCACTTTGGGAAGCCAAAGTGGGAGGATCGTTTGAGCCCAGGAGTTCAAGACCAGCCTGGACAACATAGCAAGACCCTGCCTCTAAAAAAAGAAAATTTAAAAATTAGCTGGGCATGGTGGCATATGCCTGTAGTCCTAGCTATTTGGGAGGCTGAGGTGGGAGGAGCACTTGAGCCCGGGAGGTCAAGGATGCAGTGAGCTGTGATTGCACCGTTGCACTCAAGCCAAAAAACCACCTGTAGAAAACCAGAAAAGTCTGAAGTGCGTGTTGCTATGGAGCAGGCCTGGCAGTTTCTGGGGAGGGGCAGAGCAAAGGGATATTACACTTATTATAAACCTTTTAGTATCATTTGATGTTTTAAAAAGCCATATGTATATATTACTTTGATTTTCAATATATACTTATAATGTATATCTGCAAAATCATTAGGACTAATAAGGTAGACAAAGCAGGCATTGATGGAAATACTTTTTCTAGATGGCAAAGGTTTTTACCATTCATACTTGACTTTCTCCTAAACCACCTTAATATTATATAATGGTATCTTAACGGCACCTCTAGACAGAAAAATGACCAGATAGCAGATATGTTTATAAAATTAAAATAGTCTACGTAACTGGTAGTTTCTTACTTCCATTTCTTCCCCTGTATCTGCTTGTAAAGTTCAATTTTTCTTTTCAGTTTCAGGCAAATAGTTGGAAAAATCTTATCCTCAAAGTGTGTCAAGGGTCCATCAGTCCTCTGCCATCTCATTACTCCTACGAACTTCAGTTCCTAGTCAAGCAGATGTTTAAAAGGAATCCCTCACATCGCCCCTCGGCTACAACACTTCTCTCTCAAGGCATCATAGCTCGGCTTGTCCACAAGTGCCTACCCCCCGAGGTATGATCTGTGTTGGATTGGCTGTGAACAGTTTTCAAGTGTATGGTAAAATGGTTTGTTGTCTTTTAACATTATATGTTACATGTGCTCATCAGAATCCAAATGGTACAGAAGTATATTAAAAATAAAAAATTAAAACCTCCTTTCCTTCCTCTTTTCCCCGCAACAATGCTATTGCCCAAGTATAATCACAGTTTGTATATCCTTCCAGACCTTTTTTAGACATATATAAATGTCTGCATTTGTCTATCTAAATTATATGTACTTTTTTTTTTTGAGATGGAGTCTCGCCCTGTCGCCCAGGCTGGAGTGCAGTGGCGTGATCTTAGCTCACTGCAACGTCCACCACCCTGGTTCAAGCAATTCCCCTGCCTCAGCCTCCCAAGTAGCTGGGATTACAGGCACACACCACCATGTCCGGCTAATTTTTTTGTATTAGTAGAGACAGGGTTTCACCATGTTAGCCAGATTGGTCTCGAACTCCTGACCTCAAGCAATCTGCCTGCCTCGGCTTCCCAAAGTGCTGGGATTACAGGTGTGAGCCACCATGCCCGGCGTATATGTACTTTTTTAAGTGGCACTTTTGTTTTTCAACTTGAAATATTATTGTGCTGAAAATGCTGATGATGAAATGATATCACAGCAGTATCTATAGAAAAATATGTTTTCACATCTTTAAATTCTCAACTTTAAATTTCAGATCATCATGGAATATGGTGAGGAGGTATTAGAAGAAATAAAAAATTTGAAGCATAATACACCAAGAAAAAAAAGTAAGAATTTTGGACAGAGTATATTTTGTGAAGTGCTCTTTTAAAAATATACTATAACAGAAAAGAAATACATAATTTTTAGGTTATTAGAAATGATTATCAGAGATACTCCTCAAATGAACATTTTCTTTTTGTTATTTTAGATGTAATTCTGTACTGAGTACTGTCCTTTTTGATCCCTGAAACAATTGGGGTTTTAAAAAGGCTAGTTTTGGATATTTTAATGACGGAAAGATGATGCCATCATTATTAGTACCATATTTTCTCTGGCTTGTTGTGTAGGTCAGGTAGAAGGCTTCTTCTGTGGGCTGACCTGACAATCTGTCCAGGAAAATATGGCACTAATCTTGTAGGAAAATGTATCCCAAGTTTCTGAAGAACCATCATGTAAACAGACTTTTTGAAAAGAGAAGCTTTTCTTTATATATTATATTATTATTGTTTATTATACTTTATGTTCCTAGGGTACGTGTGCCAAAGTGCAGGTTTGTTACATATGCATACATGGTGCATGTTGGTGTGCTGCCCATTAACTCGTCATTTACATTAGATATATCTCCTAATGCTTCCCCCCTCCCCAACCCCGCAACAGGCCCCGGTGTGTGATGTTCCCCTTCCTGTGTCCAAGTGATCTCATTGTTCAGTTCCCACCTATAGTGAGAACATGCGGTGTTTGGTTTTCTGTTCTTGCGATAGTTTGCTGAGAATGATGATTTCCAGCTGCATCCCTGTCCCTACAAAGGACACTAATTCATCTTTTTTATGGCTGCATAGTATTCCATGGTGTATATGTGCACAGTTTTCTTAATCCAGTCTGTCACTGATGGACATTTGGGTTGATTCCAAGTCTTGCATTGTGAATAGTATGACTTATAATCCTTTATAGCAGCCATGACTTATAACCTCTTGGGTAATTCCCAGTAATGGGATGGCTGGTCAAATGTATCTAGTTTTAGATCCTAGGAATCGCCACACTGTTTTCCACAATGGTTGAACTAGTTTACAGTCCCACCAACAGTGTAAAAGTGTTCCCTATTTCTCCACATCCTCTCCAGCACCTGTTGTTTCCTGATTTTTTAATGATTGCCATTCTAACTGGTGTGAGATGGTATCTCATTGTGGTTTTGAATTGCATTTCTCTGATGGCGAGTGAGATTGAGCATTTTTTTCATGTGTCTGTTGCCAGCATAAATGTCTTCTTTTAGAAGTGTCTGTTCATATCCTTTGCCCACTTTTTGATGGGGTCGTTGGTTTTTTTTGTAAATCTGATTGAGTTCTTGTATGTCTGGATATTAGCCCTTGTCAGATAGGTAGATTGCAAAAATTTTTCTCCATTCTGCAGGTTGCCTGTCACTCTGATGGTAGTTTCTTTTTGGCTGGCAAAAGCTCTTTAGTTAATTAATGCCATTTGCCAATTTGGCTGTTTGTTGCCATTCTTTTTGGTGTTTTAGACATGAAGTCTTTGCCCATGCCTATGTCCTGAAGGTATTGCCTAGATTTCTTCTAGGGTTTTTATGGTTTTAGATCTAACATTTAAGTCACTATCCACTTGAATTAATTTTTTGTATAAGGAGTAGGAAGGATCCAGTGTCAGCTTTCACTTATGGCTAGCCAATTATCCCAGCACCATTTATTAATAAGAGAATCCTTTCCCCCATTTCTTGTCCTGTCAGATTTGTCAAAGATCAGATGGTTGTAGATGGGTGGATATTTCTGAGGATCTGTTCTTCTCACTGGGTTTATATCTCTGTTTGGTACCAGTACCATGCTGTTTTGGTTACTGTACCTTGTGTATAGTTTGAAGTCAGGTAGCGTAATGCCTCCAGCTTTGGTTCTTTTGATTTAGGATTGTCTTGGCAGTGCAGGCTCTTTTTTTGGTTCCATATGAATTTAAAGTAGTTTTTCCAATTCTGTGAAGAAAGTCATTGGTAGCTTAATGGGGATGGCATTGAGATCTGTAAATTACCTTGGCAGTATGGCCATTCATGTATTGATTCGTCCTATCCATGAGCATGGAATGTTCTTCCATTTGTTTGTATCTCTTTTTTATTCATTGCACAGGTGGTTTGTAGTTTCTCCTTGAAGAGGTCCTTCCATCTTTGGTTAAGTTGGATCCTAGTATTTATCCCTTTGAAGCAATTGCGAAATGGGAATTCATTCCTGATTGGCTCTGTTTTGTCTGTTACTGGTGTATAAATATGCTGGTGATTTTTGCACGTTGATTTTGTAATCCTGGAGGTTTCCTGAAGTTTTTATCAGCTTGGGAGATTTGGGCGATACCATGGGTTTTCTAAATATCCCAGTCTTGCATCTGTCAAAACAGGCAATCTGACTTCCTCTTTTCCTAACTAAATACCCTGTATGTTCTTTCTTGCCTGATTGGCCTGGCCAGAATTCCAACACATGTTGAATAGAGTGGTGAGAAGGAGGGCCATCCCTGTTTGGCATTTTAAGGGGAATGCTTCAGTTTATTGCCATTCAGTGTGATATTGGCTGTGGGTTTGTATAAATACTCCTTATTATTTGATGATACGTTCCCATCCAAATACAAATTTATTGAGAGTTTTTAGCAATGAAGGGGGCTGTTTTGAAATTTTTGTCAAGGCCTTTTTCTGCATCTATTGAGAAAATCAACCGGTTTTGTCTTTGGTTCTTTTTTATATTCATATTGGACCAGCCTTGCAATCCCCAGGATGAAGCCACTTGATCATGTGGGACAAGCCCTTTTGATGTGGGTGCTCGCTTCGGTTGCCAGTATTTTACTGAGGATTTTGCAAGCTGTTCAATCAGGATATGGTCCTAGAAATCTCTTTTTGGTGTGTCTCTGGCCAGGCCTTTGTGTCAGAGATATGGTTGGGCGCACTCCATAAAATCGAGAGGGAGGATTCCTCTTTTCCTATTGATGCGAAATAGTTACAGGAAGAAGTACCTCCTACCTGTACCTCTGGTAGAATTCATCTGTTGAAATCCATCTCGGTCCTGGACTTTTTTGGTTGGTAGGCTATTAATTATTGCCTCAATTTCAGAGCCTCCACTATTGGGTATCAATCAGGGATTCAGAACTTCTTCCTGGTTTAAGTCTATGGAGAGTGTATGTGGTCCCAGGGATTTATCCAGTTTCTTCGTAGGTTAGAAGAGAAGCCGTTTCTATGTAAACTGGTGGACTCTGGTGCTGGTGTAGTGAAATGATCCGTAGAGTTAGCTCCCACTTTCGGACCTGTAAAGTGCAGCATGTTGGTAGTGGGGAGGTACTGTGTGGGCGGAACAGTGGTTCGTATATGGGACTCTCTCGTACCACCACTCAGTCTTCTATGGGTGAACCTAAAATGCTTTGGGCTTTTTTTGCAAATGGGAGCTCACTCTTGTTGCCCAGGGCTGGGTGCAATGGCACAATCTGCGCTCAACTGCAACCTCTGCCACTCCCCAGGGTTCAAGCGATCTCTTGCCTCAGCCTCCGCCAAGGTAGCTAGGATACAGGCATGTGCGCCACATGCCTGGGTAATGTTGATTTAGCAGAGATGGGGTTTCCACATGTTGGTCAGACTGGCTCGAACTCTGACCTTCAGGTGATCCACACCTCGCCTCCCAAGAGTGCTTTGGATTACAGGCCTGAGCCACTGTGCCTGGCCTAAAACTGCTCTTAAACAATAAAATATCCTAATTAAAAACAAAAACCAGAGGCTTTTCCAAAGTTGTGAATCATCCACATAATAGCTGCATGAAATTTTCATACATCTATAGTCTATCCTGAGAAAATATCAAATTTAATTTATTGTCTCTTTAGAAGTTGTCATCTCTGAATTTTTTTCAAAGCTATTTTTATTCCTTGTCCTTTCTCATCAGTGATTTCCTTCTGAAGAAATCCAACAGAGCTAGTAGCTATGAACAGAATACAGGAGAAGAATTAAGAAGTGTGGGAAATCACCCACTGCTGGGACATGTTGCAAAACCTCCATTGCCTGGTGCTCTTTATCATAATGTTATATGCAGATACTACAAAAGAAACATTTTGAGAACTGTATTTTTTTCTTAAACTTAACTTTTAAATGTTGTTTTTGGAAGGATGCAAACCCTTCAGTCTTACAACTCAACCTTTTCTCCATTAGTTAAGAGATAGCCAGTTACCTTTGTTTTACCAGTTTGCTTTAGCATAGGTGTTATTCTGTGGCTTTTGTTCACATCCCAGGGTAGTGGGAAATTAGTTTTAAAATGCTGGGCAAGAAAAAAAGAGACTAAGAAAAATTTCAAGGTAGTTTGGAAAAGTGTAGGTTTTTTAAAATTAACTTTATTTTATTTTTGAGACAGAGTCTCACTCTGTCTCCCAGGCTGGAGTGCAGTGGTACGATCTTGACTCATTGCAACCCCTGCCTCCCGGGCTCAAGCAATTCTCATGCCTTAGCCTCCAGAGTGGCTGGGACTACAGGCGTGTGCCACCATACCTGGCTAATTTTTTCTTTTTTGGTAGAGACAGGGTTTCACCATGTTGACCAGACTGGTCTCAAACTCCTGACCTCAGGTGATCCACCTGCCTTGGCCTCCCAAAGTGCTGGGATTACAGGGATAAGCCACTGTACCCGGCCGAAAAAGTGTAGTGTTACAGTTTCTAAAGAGGAATAACGTAGTTAGAGAAATGCCACCAAACTGGGACCATATGTCTGATGGCATCTCCAGTTTCATCTGTAGACAGACCAGAACAATGAAATGGAACAGGGCAGGGATCGCATCTGACTTGCTCACTCTTGTATTCTCAGTGTATCATCATCCATGTTCAATAGCAATTTTTTAAAATGTTGAGTGAATAACGGACATGAACCACAGGGCTCTGCCAGAGAAAAATGAGGCGTAGCCATTCCTACCAAAGGGATCAATTGCCAGAGTTCTCTCCTGACTCCTCCTGCTGGTCTCTTCTGAGTTAATAAACGGCTCACTTCTTCTTAGGGATACCTATTCCACCAGCTGTGATAGCTCACAGGAAAAGCATGGACTCCACTAGCTAGCATGCACCAAAGGGGATAATGACCTTAAGTATGCAGAGTATGTTACCTCTTAGTGCTTAAATGGGTTGGCGTAAGTGAGCAGAGATGTCTTTTAACTTTTAGATTTTAACTTTAGGAATGAAACAGTGGAAATAACCTCTTTCAACAACTGAGATGTATTATTAGGTGATTAAAGCTTGTTATTCCCATTCAGGATATCAGAGAGCTTTGGTTCTTTGACTTTAATAACCTCACTCACTTCTCCAGCTGTATGCAGATCATATTAGGAACTTAATAAGATGATCCTTTATGTGTTTTATCTTTCTACCTTCTCTCTCTCTCTTTTAAAAGCAAACCCCAGCAGAATCAGGATAACTTTGGGAAATGAAGCAAGCACAGTGGTAAGTGCTTTAAAATTACATTTATGAGGCTGGGCGTGGTGGCTCACGCCTGTAATCCCAGCTCTTTGGGAGGCTGAAGCAGGTGGATCACCTGTGGTCAGGAATTGGAGACCTGCCTGGCCAACATGGTGAAACCCCGTCTCTACTAAAAATACAAAAATTAGCCAGGCATGTTGGCATGCACTTGTAATCCCAGCTACTCGGGAGGTTGAGGCAGGAGAATCAAGTGAACCTGGAGACGGAGGTTGCAGTGAGCTGAGATTGCGCCATTGCACTCCAGCCTGGGCAACAAGAGTGAAACTCCATGTCAAAAAAAAAAAAAATACATTTATGAAATATCTACCTCCTGGATACTGGGTACCCTTCAGTGCTGTAAGATATTTGGAAGACTGTGACCTGGTCCCTCTAGTTAAGTACTTCTTCCTTCATCTTTTGGTATGTGAAAGAACTGGTAGCTGTTCATCTGCACTGTCAGCTGAACCACTTTGGGTCACCATTTATTGTTTACTTTTCCATTTGTTATTATTTTTTGAGTCGGAGTCTCACTCTGTCTCCCAGGCTGGAGTGCAGTGGCACGATCTTGGCTCACTGCAAGCCCCGCCTCCCGGGTTCACACCATTCTCCTGCCTTAGCCTTCTGAGTACCTGCCTCAGCCTCCCAGAGTGCTGGGATTACAGGCGTGAACCACCGCGCCTGGCCTCCATTTTTTATTATTGATGACAGTGGTTTCAATACAGATGTGAAAGAATTTTGTCTTGCTTTCAGTCATGAAAATCTTGTGTTATGCTGGCTTTTTTTTTTTTTTTTAGGTAGAGTGTCACTTTGGCATCCAAACTGGAGTGCAGTGGCGTGAACATGGTTCACTGCATCTTCGAACTCCTGGGTTCAAGTGATCCTCCCACCTCAGTCTCTCAAAGCGCTGGGATTATAGGTGTGAGCCATTGGGCATGGCTGCTTTTTGGTTTGTTTGTTTGTTTATTTTGAAACAGAATCTCCCTCTGCCACCCAGAGTGGAGTGCAGTGGCGCAATCATGGCTCACTGCAACCTCTGCCTCCTGGGTTCAAGCGATTCTCATGCCTCAGCCTCCTGGTTAGCTAGGAACACAGGCATGAGCCACCATGCCCAGCTAAGTTTTTGTCTTTTTAGTAGAGGTGGGGTTTTGCTGTGTTGGCCAGGCTGGTCGTGAACTCCTGACCTCATGTGATCTGCCTGCCTTGGCTTCCCAAAGTGCTAGGATTACAGGTGTGAGCCACCACGTATGGCCTGCTTTTTGTTTTTTTATGGTGGTACAATATGCATAACATAAAGTGTGCCATTTTAGCCAATTCTAAGTGTACAATTCAGTGGTGTTAATTACATTCATAATATTGTGCAACTATCACTACTATCTATTTCCAAAACTTTTTATCATCCCAAACAGAAACTCTGTACCTGTTAAACAATAACTCCCACTTCCACCACTGCAGCCCCTGGCAGCCTCTAATCTCAAATCTGGTAGCCCCGGTAGCTGCTCAAATCTTTGTGTGAATTTGCCTATTCTAAGTATTTCATATGAGGGGAATCATACAATATTTGTCCTTTTATGTCTGACTTCTTTCACTTACATAATGTTTTTAAGTTCTTCTGTGTGTCAAAACTTCATTCCTTTTTATTGCTGTGCTGAATAACATTTAGATTACTATTTAGATCTTAACATTTTTCTGTTCAGTGCCTTGTAGTGCCTCCTTGTTATCCCAAGAATCAATTTTCAGGCCGGCATTCGGGGTCCTGTTCATCCTGTCTAGCCCTGGGCAACTGTGACATTCTTTTACACTGAAGCTTCTCTAAAGCTGTGGATATTAACAACGGATCCATGTTTCAGTGTTGTCACACCCCCCTTCGCAAATCGTATACTATTGATTTTTTTCTTCAGTATTTCAGTTAACCTTTCTTTTTCTCCTTCTCTCCTTCTCTCTCTCTCTCTCTCTCTCTCTCTCTCTCTGTTGCGCAGGCTGGAGGGCAGTGGCATCAACACCACTCACTGCAAACTGACCTCTTGGGCTCAAGGGATCCTCCCACCTCAGCCTCTTGAGTAGCTGGAACTACAGGTGCATGCCACCATGCCTGGATAATTTTTTAATTTTTTTATAGGAATGAGGTCTCACTGTGTTGCCCAGGCTGGTGTTGAACTCTTGGGCTTAAGTGATCCTCTCACCTTGGCCTCCCAAAGTGCTGGAATTTACAGGTGTGAGCCACTTCGCCTGGCCTAACCTTCCAATTCAAAAAGGAAAAGATGTTGTACTGACAACAAATTGCTCTCTTCATGCAATGCACTAGTAATTAAACTTGTAAATTTTTTGAATGAACCATAAGTTCTAAATAAATAACTATATCCCATCATTATGTTGCTACAAATGGAATACAGACCTCTATACTTTTTTTTCTTTTCATTGTAATGTCTGTTTTTTTTTTTTCCAACTTTTTGAGATATAATTTACATGCCACAAAATTTACACATTTTTGTGCACAATTTGATAAATTTTGGTGATGGTATTTAAACATCCATATAACCCCTGCCACAGTCATCTTATAGAACTTCCAGGCAGGGCAGAGTGGCTTACGCCTGTAATACCAACACTCTGGGAGGCGGAGGCAGGAGCATTGATTGAGGCCAGGAGTTTGAGTGCAACCTGGGCAACACAGTGAAACCCCATCTCTACAAAAAATTAAAAATTTTAGGTGGGCATGGTGACACATGCCTGTAGTCCCAGCTACTGGGAAGCTGAGGCAGGAGGATTGCCTGAGCCTGGGAAGTTGAGGCGCAGTGAACTATGATCACACTTCTGCACTCCAGCCTGGGCAACTCAGCAAGACTCTGTCTCAAAAAGAAAAGAATTTCCATCCCCTAAAATGTTTCCTTGTGCCCTTTGCAGATGATCTGTGCCCATACGCTATAGTTTGATACCACCTGTAGTGGACACAGCAATATGTGTTCGCAAAATGAAAAGGGTGCAACACGTGAACAAAATGGAGAAAAGGCCAAAAAGTCAGTCAGGGAATGAGGGACTTGAGGTAGGAGAACTTGTGTGCAGGCCAGCAAAGGACAATGGCAATGAAGGCAGAGTTGAATAGCACCCAGAGGAACGTGGGAGGCCACTGCAGACACAGAAAGCAGTGATCCTCAATGGGAAGGAAAGACTGGAATCCCCTGGGGGGCTTTTCACAGCTGCCCCTCACCGCTACTCCTCCAAGATTCTGATGTCGTTCTTGAGTGTAGGAGGCTTTGAAATCGCTGCTGTAAGTGAGCCACCACTGTTAAGTGACAGATTTTTATGTTCCCTACATGTGTGGGAAGAGAAGTTTCAGAACCACTGCTTAGAAGTAAGAAAACCCACCATGCCACCCAAGCCTAGTGTTTATTTATTCATTCAATAAAGAATTGAGAACTTCTTTGCCTGGGACTGTTTAGGCATTCAATATGTACTCCTTCTCAAAATATATGCAGATTTAGTAAACTAGATAGTGTATTACTATATTTCGTGAAATAAATCAAGGGCTTAGATAATTTGGAAAGATACTGAATTAAGTGGGAACATTTTGATTCTATATGGCAACTTTATAAAATGTCTCATTTTGATATTACAGTTTGTAAAGCCCAGTACAGCAAACCATATTGAAATTTTTCATTACTCTTTTCCTTAGTAAAGACCTTTCAAATATCTGTCATTTTAATATATCCTCTTCGTATTTATAATAATTGATATTAATGGCTATTAATGCATACGTCTATTAATATATACATGTATGTAGGTTTATGGTTGTTAATATACATATATGTTATTAAATACGTATAGATATAGATAGCTATTAACATACATGTCTTTGGGGTTCTATGATTATGCATGTTTTTTAATCCATTAATTTTTATTTGAAATTAAAATGGCTGACTTTGCATATTTGTTTACCTTTTTCGTAGCAATTCAAGCATTATTTAATCTGTATTGTTAATCTATTTTAAAGCAAGAGGGAGAACAAGATAGAAAGGGTAGCCATACTGATTTGGAAAGCATTAATGAAAATGAAAGTGCATCGAGAAGAGTAAACAGAGAAGAAAAAGGTGAGTTATTCAAATTCTAATCATTTCTTAGACAAGGAGTTGGGGAGTACAGAGGGAATACCAATTTTTATGTTACTAGGTCTCAGGTATCGTAAACAAGAGTACAAGCTGATATTTGTTTGCTTATCTAGTAACTTATTTAATGTTTTAGAAATATTTTATTTACCTACAACAAAAGAGAGAATAGCATTTATCAGTAAGAGCCATTAGAAAGAGTGGTATTTATTGTGCTATCCACCTTAAAAAGCATAGCATACTGTGTGTATGTAAGTCCTCCCAGGGCTTCATTCTTGCACAATGTATAACATGTAAGTATATACATATCATTATTTTTTTTTATTTTTTTATTTTTTTTGAGATGGAGTCTCGCTCTGTTGCCCAGACTGGAGTACAGTGGCCCAATCTCCGCTCCCTGCAAGCTCTGCCTCCCGGGTTCACGCCATTCTCCTGCCTCAGCCTCCCAAGTAGCTAATTTTTTGTGTGTATGTTTTCAGTAGAGACAGGGTTTCACCGTGTTAGCCAGGATGGTCTCGATCTCCTGACCTCATGATCCACCTGCCTTGGCCTCCCAGAGTGCTGGCATTACCAGTGTGAGCCACCACACCCGGCCTACATATTTTTTTTTTTAACTCGGTCACTGTAATGATTCATTTGTAACTTTTCATTTTGGATTTTTTTTTTTTTAATTTCCTTTGCTACTTAGATTTGAAAGAACATTGATCTTTCAAACATAGATCTGAGTTTGAAAGAGAAAAGAAACACTTCCATATTGTTGTTAGATAGTCTGTGTGTGGACAGAGATGGATACATAAAATAACATGCTTGGCATTCCTTTTTTACATTTTAAAATCAGGTAATGAGTCAGTCCATCTGAGGAAAGCCAGTTCACCAAATCTTCACAGACGACAGTGGGAGAAAAATGTACCCAATAAAGCTCTTACAGCTTTGGAAAAGGCATCCATACTCACCTCCAGTTTAACAGCAGAGGATGATAGAGGTTAGTAGTCAGATTGAATACTATTATTTTATTCCTTAACGCTTAGAAGAAGGAACTTTTTTCTAAATCTTAGTTGCACTAGGAGGGCTTTTAATGTCTGGGTGAAGGTATTTGGCGTCACAAAACATCAGAGCAATTACTCATACAGGTGATGAAGTCGTTGTGTTTCTAAAGATTTTTAAGTTAACAGTGCAAATATAACTAGTAGACTATTGCGTTGAAAATATGGAGTCTGCTGGAAAAAGTACATGCGTGCTGAAAACAAACGTCTTTTTTTTATTCGGCACTTAATTTTTTGTCCTTTTCCACTAGGTGGGGTTCTGGTAATAAATACAGCAATAAATACTGTCGGTAAGCAGTGGCTTCAAAGAGACCCCTGACACCTTTGTTGAAACTTGCCTTAAGAATTGCTGATCTGCAGCTTGGCCTTTCCAACATTACACGATTATATAGACCGGGAGTAACTTCATTTCTGTACTGTGACCTTGGAAACCTTTGACTTTTTCTGAATAATATGTGGTCAAAGACTATAATGTATATGCGATAAAATTCTC